TCTAGGCTCTCCTAGTGAACCGATTTGAATTTTACAAAAAGCGTTTGGAAGTTTGAGCCTTCCTTTATTAAAAATATTGCAACTATCTGAGTGCCTTATTTAGGGCCTACTATAACTTTGAAAATTTGCGATTTTTTTCCAGTAGGCTGGATTGCACAATTATTATGCAAAACCTATCCGACCGATCTTAACAAAATTTAGCACACGTTTTAAACATATTAAAGTTTTTCTAAGCGGAATATGGAGCTTGTAAGTCAAGTTTAGAAAGTCGAAAACATTTAAAGGATTAACTTCATTTTTTTGTACTTTTTTTCCAATTATTGCTATTTTTTTCAACAATAAACATTAAATTTTCAATTTCTAGCTAACGAAATATTGTGTAAAATTGAATTACGTAACTTTTAACTTCTTATAATTGTTTCTCTAGGATCAATATTTTCCGAATTATAAACGAAAATAGGAGCAAAAAAATGAAAAATTTTCAATTGTTTTCAGATTTTGTTAAATAAAAAATTTAGCACAGGGTTTGCGACTGGCGCATATCGTGATTATCGATATTGGGCACATCCTGAAGGGATTCCAGCAAAAAAATATCTTCCTATGGAAAATGTCCAATCCAAAACAGATCCCGTCTAGACTATTAGTAACGTCGATCTACGAACAAAACAATAATATAATCAGGAATTGCTATATATTGCTAAAAACATGCAGTTCTCTTCAGTGCGTTATCGTAGCACAGGAGACAGAGACGAACTAGTTTTTGCGTTTATGAAATAGCTGTAATATTTTTTTTTTTTTTTGTGAACAATCGTTTTTAATATTCTATCATTTTTTGGATCATTCTGAATAAAAAAGCTTAACCTTTCAGTGCTAACGTGAATTATTTTGACATAAGTGTTAATGTCCGTCTCTGGGACCGTATGTTTGTTTATACATGCCCTAGTACTGTAAATTTTACAAATTTTTAAAATTTAATTATTTCAAGGGTCTTATTGAATACTTTTTTATTTAAAATAAATTCAGTTTTATTTAAAAAATTATGTTTATAAACATTTATTTTGACAAAAATAATTCCTTAACAAAAACAAACAATATTCTAAAAAGTGAGAAAAAAACTATTTTTAAACTAAAAATGAAATTATCCACTTATAATAACCACACTTAAGCAACTCTAATATTACGAAGTAACTTTAAACTTAAAAAAAGTCAATCTTTTTCTGAACATTCCACACATATGCCCTTTATGTGTTCTAAGCACATAAATTTATTGCATGAGTAACAACTGTACTTTGTTTTTCGACTTTCCTTGCTTCCACAGTAAAAACAACGGCCATTAGATTTTTCAATATTTTGTACATTCAATGTGATATCAAACATTTCTCTGAGTCGCATACTTATCACCCTTGGCAGGTTTGTTGCAATTGCTCTACGTCTTGCATGTGGTTCAAGCAGTTGAATACCCATTGTCTCTAAAAATGTTCTTCTAAGTAGTATGCGTTGGTCTGTCCGAGCAGAATTACACTTGATATATTGTAAATGAATTTATGCCGGCGATATTAATATTGCATAAAATATCACCATGGGCCAGCGATTAGTCGATCTTCCACAATTGTAGCTTTCACACATCTTATCAATAGTGTCGACTCCTCCTTTGGTTTCGTTGTAATCAATTATTATGTTAGGCTTACCAGTCTTTGGATCCAACGTATTATCTTCATAATGCATTGTTGACATCAGGAGCACATTTTTTTTCGGTTTTGGAATATACGAAACAATAGTGCATTTATCTTGACATGCAAACATACTTGTAGAAGTAGGCATATTTATAGGCGCCGTAAATTCCAAAGGCAGTTCTGGCTTATTTCTTCGAAGAGTTCCAATTATAGTTAGCTGATGATTTGGCCAGTAATGTGTCAGCAAGCTGCTTACTGGTAAAAAAATTATCAAGAGTAACATTTCTATTTGTACCCCAGATAGGTCTACACAAACGTACTACTAAATCCAAAATCTTTGTGGTTTGCTGGTAGGGGGTCCCTCTGGTTGCTGACCAACATAAATTTCTAAATTTGAGGTATAAGCTAATTTAGCATCAGTCAATGCATATATTTTTATACCGTACCTATTTGGTTTTTTTTTTTGGCATATAAACTTTGAACCCACAGCGGCCCCTAAAGGCTTCTAATATTTCATCAACTGTACAATAGTGTGACATGGCGTAGTGTTTTGGCAAATTGGTGTTGAAGTCTTCAAAAAAGCTTCTGATAGGAGCTAATTTATCAACGTTTTCTCTCTCTGCACGAGTTTGTTTATTATCAAAGCGAATAAATGCCAATAGAAATTTGAATCGCTCGTATGACATTGTAAGGCGAAATATTTCTAAGGATGTACCGTTTGTTCTAAACAAGTCGCGAGCATTGACATGGTTATTCTTGAACTTTCCTGCTATGTACAACAGGCCTATAAGTGCATTTATTTCTAGTATATCCGTCTTTCTGTAGGTTCTATTCAGAGGATCAGCATGTAGTTCAATATTTATATTTGTATTTTTTACAATAAGTTCCAACATCTGGTCTATTATAAAACAGCCCAAATATCACTAAAGATTATTTTCTCCCTAGCATCCCCCTTTACACCTGGTAAATGCCTCCTTAAATTGTCTACTCTCGTACGCACTCGCTTATTACCAACATGCTTTCGCCATTTAGTTTTTTATCCTTACCAAAAAAAATAGGAACTCGCCGGCAAATATTTTGTGCTTCTGCCTCATCAAAAACATCATTTTCTGCTGATATATCCTGTTCACTATATGTATCGAGATCTTGTATTTCAACGTCATCTTCTTCAGAACTCTCCGCAGAATCGTTGCATTCCAATTCATCATTACTATCAACTTCCTCTAGAAGTCTCGGCAAATATTTTTGCTCCTCCTCGTAGTTCATTTCTATTTCTAAAAAGTAAAAAAATAATATTTGCTAAGGATTTCTGCTTAGTTGTAAAAGACATGTCGTGGAATGCAAATTTTAGATTCCCCATGTCTCTTTTAACATCTTTTATCAACGTCGGTTTGCCTTGCAATTCTTAGAAGGCTCAGATTATAAAGCAGAAATCTGAATTGTGTTTCGAAACTATTTTACGATTGTTTAATTAGATGTCGCTACTGCGTCCGTATTGAAGCCATGTTATTGTTGCTTCTTAAAAGGCAGAAAATATTGATTTTTCACGTTGAGAACTCCTATGAATAGCTCTTCTGACGAGACCTATTAGGTCGAAATACGTATCAAGAGATACATAGGATTTGTTTGCGTGAAATCAAATATTTGCTGCCTTTTCTCAAATAATATTTTATTCACTAAAAATACAACGCTAAAAGTTACAATCCTTACTTTTAATACAGCCGCAAAAGCTAACATCCGTCTCTGAGACCGAAATCTTGTGTAACGAACGAACTATGTATCTACGTTCAACAATATTTTAATACTAACAACGCTTATAATAGGTAAAATATGAAGCTATTGAATGACCTAGATCTACACTTGATCGTTTTCAACTTATAAACAATTTAAAATTTAAAATAAAATTTAAAATTTAAAACTGTAAAAAAAACGAAAAATGATGATTGAAGGATCAAAAATACACAATTATTTTTGAATTCACCAAACCTTCTCTCAGTTTCTGATACTTTAGTTTGGGTTTATTTAATTTAAAAACATTGTTTTTAGTTGTTTGAGGCCCTTATCACAACCTAAAAATGGATTTATACAAAACTGTTTAATAAATTAGGACCACTTTTTGTATAAGCGACAGCTTGAACATTATTCTGCGGTAGGTATTTTATGAAAGTGATTATGCAAAAAATCTCATGGGAATATTTTTCCCAAGGAATTCGAGGTTTTCGTCTCATAAACATATTTTGCTGAATTTAAAACCAAAATCCTGTCTATCATACATTGATTTGTTACCTATTTATTTATTTGTACTCTAGATTTTTTTTTAGTTCTTAAAAGGTTTATTTATACGTCAAGTTAGTGCAATGTAGATATTTTACATTTTTGCACAGTAATTGCAGCAGTGAAGACAGGAAGTCGTAAATTTTTATTACATCTTTCAATGAGCTAAAATAAAAAATGCGATGACTAACTGGAAGCTTTAAGATTAGAGTAACATAATATGTCATGTTTATTGGAAATACTCGACATCATTAGCACGTGCATCATATCCTACTTTGTCGGCCCTTTCCTATGAAATTTAAATGGTAAATGTTTTTAGGATCCATTTATTTTTTTGTGCATGCGCCATGGACGTATCGTATTTATACGTCCATGGCATGCGCATTTACGAGGTCGAGGTGGTTTTGAAACATCTTTCTTTACCACTGTAGGTATAACAAACATAAAATACCTATAAGAAAACTTGTATGATAACTCTAGATCTGATGGTTAGTGATATCTCTGGCATTCTTAAGTGGTTTATTTTTTAAATATAATGGGCATCTGGTGTATATCACATTTCACCACCTGTACTTAAGTGTCATAAATTTATAAGACCATTTGGGTAAATTTCAAAAGTCAGCAAGAAAGATAAAATTAAAAATCTTCTTTAAGTGTTTAATATATATGTCCCGATATTTTATGTTGAATTATATTGGTTATCAATTCTCACTATAAAGATGAATGTTTCTTTCAGTCAAAAAAAAATAAATATGGCCTTGTTCTCAGAATAGTTAAATATTTGTCTTAAAACTAACTGCTCAGCGTTGCCACATTGACCGTTAATTTTAAAATTAATAAACTTACTTTATCTAAACTTTACTAAATAAATCAAAAACTAAAATTTTCTTAACTCTCCGTTAATTACTTCTACTTGGTAAGGAGAGAATTTTTAAAGTTCACCAAGCTTTCTTTGACAGATAAATGAATTAAATTAACTTACACAAATCCGTTTCCAAAAATTATTTTACTTTTTTTTATATTAGATATTACTGAAGTTCTTCTTTTTTACAGGTTTGCAGTGCAATGGTTTCAACTTAGGACTGTGTATATCGTAAATAGCTATCTAAAATGGATAAAGAGAGTGTTATTAAATATGTGAGAGGACTGATCAATTCCTCGACGATTCCTTTAACGATATGGAATCTTGATAGTAAGTACACTTTAAAAAAAATTCATTTGAGCATCTAAATGAGTGGACTATAATTTAGTATTATAACTACATTTCTGATTTAATTTAGTCATTACTACGTTCATAACGTAGTTCATCAAACTCACATTTTTACCTATATTTAAAATTAGGAGAATACATTGATAATAGGTTGCCAGTCAAAAAATATAAATTTATTTAATATATAAAAATATTTTAAAATATTTAAAATATTAAAATATTTTAAAATATTAAATATTTTAAAATATTAAAATATTTATTAATACAAATGACGGTATTATATTTGAATTATATATTTGAATTCGATTTCGCCAGGTAGAAATCGTATGATTTCTCTTTTTGTTTTTATTTATTAATAATTAAAATATTTAATTTTAAAAAATAATTAATTTTTTACAATTTTTTCTTCTGTAATATGGCTTTGGCAGAGCCAATTAGCCAGACTTGTTTGTGTTTATTGTTAAAATCGACTGGATTTTAATTATTATTGATTGCAGCTTCATAGTCAAAATTTTCTTGTTATCAGTTATCAATGTTAGTACTTCTTCTTCTTCTTTGGGTGCCGTGTCCGTATTCAGACGTTGGCCGTCATCATGTTTACAATTTCCTGAAACCTTTCTCTGTCGGCTGCTGCGCGAAATAATTCTGCTACTGTGAAACCACACCATTGTCTAATATTACGCAGCCATGAAAGTTTCTTTCGACCAATCCATCTCTTTCCTTCCACTTTTCCTTGTATTATAAGGCGAAGTAAATGGTATTTAGGTCCTCTAATTATATGGCCGAAGTATTCTGTTTTTCTCCTCTTTATGGTGTTTATGAGCAGACGTTCTGAATTGATCATTTGAAGAACATCTTCATTGGAAGTGTGCTAAACCCACGATATCTTTAGGATTCGTCTATAGCACCACATTTCGAATGCTTCTATCTTGTTTAGCATTGTGGTTTTTAACGTCCATGTCTCACAACCATACAATAGGATCGACCACACATAACATTTCAGGACCTTCTTACGAATATTCATTGACAGGTTTCTGTTGCATAAAACTGGTTTCCAGGTCATAAAAGCCTTACGTGATATTTCGATCCTGGATATTATCTCTTCATCAGAGTCACAATTTACATTTAACCAGCTGCCAAGGTATTTGAAATAATTTACCCTTTCTATCTCTTCTCCATTAAGAGAAAGCAGACCTTGATCTATATGGATCTTTCCAACTGCCATCCACGTTGTCTTTGAAATGTTGATTTTTAGGCTTCTCCGATAACTTGCTTCACTGACTAGATTTAGGGAGATCTTGTAAACTTTCTGCAAGAATGGCTGTATCGTCAGCGTATCTAATATTGTTGATTACTTCTCCACCTAGCTTACTCCCTCTTGTCTGTCATCCAAAGCCTCCCTAAAGATTTCGTCAGAGTACAGATTAAAAAGAAAGAGTGGGTGACAAAACACAACCCTGCCGTACTCCACGTTTGATGGGTATTTTTTCAGTGGGACTGTCTCCAATTTGGATAGAGGCTACTTGATTGTAATATAAGTATTTCAGCAGTCTTATATCATAGTGGTCAAGTCCTGCTGCCTGTAGGCAGTCGAAAAGTGTATTGTGTTGGACTCTGTAGAACGCCTTCTCGAAGTCGATGAAACAAACATAAACATTATTTCGGAATTCACAACTTTTTTGTAATAGAACGCGCATACAGAATAGTGCCTCTCTAGTTCCTAGACCGTTTCTAAATCCAAATTGTATCTTAGTGTTACAATGATAAAAGGTTAAGCCAGTCTTACATTTTCTGTAATGTAAATGCCAATTGTTTTTAAATTTTTGTCTATTAACGGTGTCAATATCTGTCGCTGGAATTAAATTTTGGTTTACTTTTTCTCTAAGCATATATGCTGATTTAGCCAAATTGGCAACGATCTCATATCCTTTTATTCCCGAATGGCCCTTGATCCATGTAATTATTACATTTAATCCTAATTGTATAGTTTCATAAAGAATTTTAAGAATTTTCAGTTCAATGTGGTTTATGTGTTTGACTGTTTGAATGTTGTTAAATCTGTCGACCACGCTTTTACTGTCAGTAAATATAACATAGATGCTAGTTGGATTCAGTACAAAAAATTTTATTTCGTTCATTTATTTTTTAAATAGAATACGCTACTCATAACGTATATGCATGTTTTTATACCAAATTAAAGCTATTTTTTTTAAATGGTGATCTAAGGTTGCCTGAGAAAAATGGTACCAAATTAGAGTTAGCAACTAGCAATAAGCGAGCTAGCGCGCAACGCTATTGGTTTGAAGTGCCAGTTGGTGAGTTTTTAAAACATGCGTTGATAGATATATCGATGGTTTAAAGCGCATAGTATGTCCACTTCTTGCTGGTTTTAAGATCATAAAAATATTCAATAGGGTCATATGAATATTCTGCATGATTATTCTTTATTTCTGTTTATAGAAACTTAAACGAAATGAAGATCATTCAATAATGAACTGTCTCACTGATAACATTTTTTCGGCTGAAGAAAACTGTATGAATACAATTGCACAGATCCAAAATGTTGTTCAGTTATCCAAACCCATAGAATATAATTCATACGTAGAAAATACTGATGGTAACTTTTGTCAATTTAAAGAAAAATGCTTTATTTTGATTTGTACTGTCTACTAAGGAAAGCTTAGACTACCTAAAAACTTAATAGCTGTTTCCGCACAGGAAACTTCTGGGTTACATTACATTTGTAATGAAACTTCTTGAAATAAAGATATTTCTGTTATCAAAAATGCTTCTTCAAAGTCTTCAGAAACCAATTCTACTGTAATGGATACAGAGACAATAACAAAAAAGCCGCAGACGTCATGCACAACCTGAAACATAGGAAAGAAATATACGTAAACAAAAAAGAATGTGTGGTATAAGTTATACCTACTGTTATAGAAATAAAAAAAAAATTGTTCCTGAAAAGCGAATTCAACATATTGACTGCTCCAGATATAAATTTAAATGTTCAACAAAAGATGCTCCTGAACGTCAGAGTATTTTGCATGAAGCATATGGACCACTGGCTGATTCTGATCGACAAAAACGCCACTTGTGTTCTTTAGTTACAGAGAGAAATGTGGCTAGACACAGAAAACGTAATCCTGAAAGCAGTATTTCAAAAACATCATCGCGTTTTTACAGATTAATATGACACCAGTGGGGAAACACAGAGAGTGTCTTAATTTTTTTTGTGCAATTTTTACTATTAGCTGTGAGGTAGTTGATTTGGCATTAAAAAACGTGGTCCAGGAGGGGCTTACGTAGGTTGCGATGGACGAAAAGCGTAAATTCCTGCTAACATTACACTCGACGCATCTAAAAATCACGTGGCAATTCATATAGACAATTTTCCTAAAATGAAATCGCAATATAATTGTCGCGATACATCTTATTTGGAAGCTGAGTCAATTAATGCAACAATTGAGCAGGCTCGTAAGCACAAAAAGATATTCACAACCGAAGAATGGACACTTTTGATTAGCATGACAAGACACAAACAAAAACCCTACAAATACCATAAACTGATCTTTAACTTTAACTGAACTTTTCTCATAAAGTGAGGAGTTCTTTTTCTCTGAGTGTAGGTAATTTCTTTAAGTTTTTTGTGTATATTAACCTCGTCATGTTTTCTTTGTAGGTCTTCCATCTCATGATATCTCTGTTTCATCCAGACCTCTTTTGTCTCGTTTACTGGTTTAACCTCTTATCTTATTTGTCGATATATTTCTCTATATCGAGTCTCATCTTTACTTTTACAATTTCTTTGCTGAATAAGGTCTAGTATGTTATCGGTCATCCAATCACTTTTCTTTACTGGCTCTTTTTCTGATTTCAAAACTTCGTTTGCTATGGTAACCATAGCTGAATTCATTACATCTATATTTTGTCTGGGTTTTTATTATTTTTAATTTTAATTTGAATCCAGCAAAGAGCAGATTATAATTATTTACTGCGTCTGCACTTTGGAATGTTTTTTACAGATGTAATACTGTTTCTAAACCTTCTGTTAATGATAATGTAGTCAATTTGATTTCTGACTACCTTTCCTTCTTGATCAGCTGGAGATTTCCAGGTATATAGTCGTCTTTTAGGTTGTTGAAACAAAGATTTTGTTATAATGCCTCTTCTTGGCAGAACTGTATTAGTTTCTGCCCTCTTTCGTTAATTTCTCCAAGTCCATACTTTAAGAGGAGTATGTAGTCGACCGCGTGGTCGAATTTGAGATTTACGCCGAGCCATCGCTTTGAAACGCAATTGTAGCATGTGGCAACGTGGGGATCAACGTACGAAGACTCGTACAGCAGGACCGGGTTTATTTTATTTTTGTTGCAAACGGACTGAGTAAACCGCCGTGTAGTGAGAATAGGATTATAATATAAAGTAAAATGGTGAAAATTTCTTATAAATAAATTTTAATTTTGTTGAAAAATCGTACGTTTCGGCGTAATGCGCGATTACAAAATTTAATTTTTTTTTTAATTAAAATACAAATATCACATACAATTGTTACTTAAAAATATCACATACAATTGTTACTAAAATATAATAAAGGTTGTTTTGTGCGTTATTAGTTTATTTTGAACGCCAGTAGTTTGAGTTTCTTCGCCTACAAATATCTACATTATTTAGTCATCAAAAATAATGTATGATAAGTGAAATGTCGTTGAAAAAAAAAGCAAAAATTGTAATACATACCCAAATGTAATTGTATTTTTTAGGGAAAATTTTTATATTTTTTCTTGATAGGAGCTTTTATAAAAACTTGTATTGACTGTCTAATTTTTCTTTTTAGGTAATAAATATATGTGATATTTGTAATGTAAAGCAAGAAAATTTAAACTTTGAGTTTTTAAAAAAATAAAATTTTTAATACTATAAAAAAAATAGTTAGTCGAATCCCCAAGATTTTTTGAACCGAAATATGTTCACGGCTATGA